AGTGAATTTTTTCCTCGCTCATCGCCTAGCTGCCTCGCTCATCCCTGGTGGAATCGCAGCCTTGGATGCGGTACAGCCGACTGGACTAAGTCTAAAAAACAAAACCCTTCGTCTAGTCTACAGTATTACGTTTAAAAACGCAGGATGCATTGATCTGGACTTCTCTATAGTACAGGTAAAAAATAATTCGCACCCTCTTGTTATAAGAAAGTTACACGTGATGATACGTTCAAAAGTTCTTTTATCGCATTAGTTATCAAAATAATACAAAGTACATTAAACAAATCGATACCTCCAACGTACTCGCCAACTTTATTTTTTGGTCATCTGTTGTTTTTGTAAACAACCATATTGATTTACCAACATTATGCTTCCCTAATTTTGTAAAAATAAAGAAACAAAACCCGAAAAAAAGAGAACGTATTGAAAAATTAAGGTGGTAATAAATATTTCTTTACTAGGATTATGCATGTATGCTCCCTGAGTTTTGTGAAGAAAAAATAAAGAAGCAAAAAAACTAAATTATATTTATATGAAATTGTATTGAATTGTATGTCCTATTTAAACATAAAAAAAGATATCAACTGATTTTGTTCGTAGAATCTCCTGAAAGTCATCCTTTAGCAGATGAAGCCTAATTAAACGGAGCGAGGTTGCGAATTTCCGGTGCTAATGTGGTCCAGGCAGCTGTACCAGCAATAAAAATTTCATTTTAACGCTTACTGTACTTGAAAACGTTTAGTGCTGTTAAAATATTATTTATACCCAATTTATCTGACAGTCAAAATAGAATAAGAGCGTGTCGGCCAAGCCCTAATGTTGTTAAAAATAAGTGGATGTATGTACAAGTGTACAAAAAAATTAAATGTGATTCCAAATTAAAACAATTTCTGACATTCATACATGTTTTATTTAATATTTTTTTCTAATTCTGTTACCGATTAAGGCGAGTCGCTGGAGGAGGAGCAGGAAAAACTATTTTGCTAGATTAAATGGTTTTAGATAACGGAATTACGAAAAATATACGATCACCTAAGGATGTTGTCAAGTAAAAACCGTTAATGTACGGTAGTTTTGTAAAAAATAATATAAAAATTATGGCGGATGAAGCCATTAGCAATTCCAGTACCTCTCTCCCACCATTCAGTATTCACTTGAAACTACAGGTACAAATTCACCTTAAAATTTGAAAAGGTTGGGGGTCAAGTTTATTAGGTGATTCACGAGAAAAGAAAAATCCCTAGGTGAGCCACGGGAAGAAATAATTGCCCATAGTACTTGGTACTTGGTGTAACGGGCTGGTGTCCGCAACTGGACGTCAAGGCGCCTATTTTGCGTGTGGTAGTTGCAGGATCCTAGTCGTGCCACCCAAGCTCCCCCAGGAATCTCAGCAGCCTCCTCGGTTTGCTGAAGGCTTGCGAAGGGGCGAAATTGGCACTCCAAGGTACTTTATCTAGTAGTTGGCCACGCGTTTAGACGCATTGCTGTTGACGCCGCTTCCTGTCTGATGAACAGTGGGAGGGGTCGCAGGTCCAGCATCGCTTCGAAGGCCGCAATTGGAGTTGTCCTCATGCAGCCGGTCGACGCCATGCAAGCGAGTCTTTGGAATTTGTCCAGCTTGTCGGTTGCGGTCGTCAGTTTAGTTAGTGGCCACCATACTATCGCGCCGTATCTGATCATGAGTCTTATCACCGCTGTATAGAGCCATAGTGTTATCTTGGATGAAAGTTCTCGTTGTTTACCCACCATTCTATGGCACTGCCAGGTGATAGATAGCTTTTTATATTGTTGTCCAGATGCTTGTTCCAGTTCAACTTGTTGTCCAGTATTACCCCCAGTTACTTGACTTCGGTTGCTAACTGTAGTTCTATAGTGAAGAGTTTGGTTAGTAGGTAGTCTTTTGTTTGTAAGTATTACTAGTTCCGTCTATGTTGGGTTTACCGATAGTTCGTATGCCCTGCACTATCGTTCCACAACCCGGAGTGCAGCTCGTGTAATGTCGCAGAGTATATTGGTATAATTTCCTGTTACCAGTATATCCTACTGTTGCCCATGGTGCATCCAGATGGACCTAGATGACCCACGGGAAGAAATAATTGCTCGTGGTCCACCCAGGTGAACCAACCAGGTGGTCCACGGGCAAGAAGCGAATTTAAGGATGATTTTTGAAACATTTAGATCGAGTATATAAGAAGAAATGTCATTTAATTTGTTTGAAAACTATTCTGCCGTATCATTACTGCGCTCCAATTGGCCAGTCCGAATTCGAAACAATGAACGGGTGTCGTCAATTGTTTCACTTCAAATCGACCAGTTAACTTGAGCTTTGCTATAATGGACGAAAATTACATATTTAATTACCAATGCAATTTGATTCCGTTTGTTTTGTAATTAGATGTTTCGCTGTTTTTCCCGACACCACCGAATGGAACAGCACGCCATTGTTAGATATTATGTTTATTACAATAAATACAGAATAATTTTGAAAATAACGGAGACGTACACACAGGTCAGTTGTTGGCGCTGTACCATTTCTTTCTCATTTGTAATTTCAGTTCAAACGAGAGTTGATATTTATAAGTGACGTCTCACTGATGAGTTACCAGAAATGTATGACCCTTATTTCGTCTCTATTTCTGGTTATATACTCGATGTAAACATAAAAAGTAATATAAAATGGTAATATTGCAAATGAAAGTATTTTTTAGCATATATTATTTAATCAATAATACAATATGTTCTCCACAACAGCAGTTCGTCGAAGTGGTTCTTTTAAAATTAAATACCTTGCTGCCTGCCTTAACGTTGACGTTCTTGATCAATATTATTTTAACCGACTGCCATTCATCGAAACGGACTGGCTCAAGGCGGGCCGTCATTATATAGCGGTTGGCAAAACTCGTGGCAGCGGTATCGGCCTTTTTTTATAAAATTTAAGTGCGCATTTGACCAGAGGTGAGATGTCACCTGATGGAAAATGACGATGAGGTCGACATTGGAGCATGCACACCTAAATAATGCCTATTCGCTCTCGCATTCAAAAGGCCCAAGTTATAACGTTCGGGGAACAAGTCTGCAGGCAGGGAATTCCACTCCATAGCCGTTCGCCATATGAATGTGGAAGCATAACGCTTCGTGCGAATCTATGGAATATCCACAACATGGGGATGGAACCCAAGCCTACGCCTAGTCCCCGGGTGATGGAAAGGCGGAATTAAATCGTGTAATTCCTACGCACTCTCCGTGATCTTATACAGTTCTAATATTAAAATATATACGCTTTACCGCGAAGATTGTACAATTTAGATTCTCTTTGTAATGCATATTTAAATACTGTAGCTTTATTTACATTTGTTTTTTTGTATTGTATCAGATTAAGTTATTTTTTTTTTATCTTACCTTATTAATAAATTACAACAAACTAGTGGAGTAAGTTCACAAAAGATAAAGGACGATGACCAGTGAAATATCGAGGCATGCCCTAATCTTAAACTGGCATGTCCAAAAGCTACACATGACGCATTTATAAAGCATATTAGACCTATTCCTCGATTTTCATTTACAGCTGTGGATTCATATATACTTCGGGACGCATAATTCGTGGCACCTTGCATTTTCAATATTAAATGCCCTTAGGTTAAACAATGCTTGATTGTACAAAAATCCTATTATGCAATTTTGAAACTGGTATATTAAGCGTCATTTCCTTAAGGCCTTATTAAAAATTTGAATAAAACTTTTTCAACTGGATAAAACTTTTTCTGCGATGATAACTATTATTTTTAACCGACTTCAAAAAAATGAAGATATTGTCAATTCGACTGTATGTTTTTTTTGTATGTATGTTATGCTATAACTCCGGTATTTTTGAATCGATTTTCATGATTCTTTTTTTGTTGGAAAGGGGGTACCTCCATTTTGAAGAAAATCATCCACCTAAGAATGGCTGATCACGCATGAACATTCATTTTTATAAATTTTACTTAACCCAAATTTTACTTAAGGAGCAATTATTTTAATGGTTGGTTTTGCTATTCTCCAATTCAAGGCGTTTTTCCCTCAATATACTTTGAGTAATGAGAACCGATTTTTATTATCTCCTGTGTCAAGTCCCGTATAGTGGCGAACTATGGGATATTTCAATAAAACTTAGCAAATAGACGTAATTCCACGTACTTTTGAGGTCGGTTTTTTTAGTACTCTGTACTGAGTGCCTCGCATTATGTGTCTGGGAAAGTATTTAATAATAAAGAGAACTTCTTTTCCTAACCTATAAGGCTCGATTTATATTGCGGCGGAACGGCATGGAAGCGAATTTTCGTAACAATATTGTACATAGCATAATTAACTTTATGGTCAATTGTGTAACGTAGAAACTAGATACGAGCCAAAATTTTCCGCGGGATTCTCGCGCATGCTGGAGAATGCTTGCGCATTCCGCGGAAGATTTTGGCTCTTATCAAGTTTGTACATTACACAATTGACCATAAAGTTTATTATCGACGCCTTGTTTTCTCAAACTCTTATCTTATAAAGAGTGATTATTAGAAGATGGCATTATTTTAAACTTCTTAACAAGGGTGTTAATTTGGATGCGTTACTTTAGGAATAATAATATAATAATAATAAAGCACACACTGAACATAGCCCCGCACTAGGGAAACCCTGTGTCGCGGATGCTATGGTCACACACATAGAAAACCACAAATTACACCCAAACTCACGAGAGAAATAAATGTAGGCCATATAAATATTTCTCCCGGCCCTGGAATCGAACCTGGGACCTCTGCGTGGCAGTCCGGCATGGTAACCGTTCGGCCACGGAGGCAGTCATAATAGGTAGGTAATAGGAACAGGTAAAGGCTAGTGTGTAGATATAAAGGAAATGTGATTTTTTTTTATAGTATCAAGTGACGGGACGAACAAGTCGTGCGCCTGATGGTAAGCGACACACCTGTCCATAACAGGTGCAACGCCATTCAAGAGCTTTAAATCGCAAAGATCTGAGGGGCACTGCCAATGCGCCCGACACCCTGACACATAAGTTGACGAGTCCCACGTGCCTATAATTTCACCAGCACCATTCATTAATGTAGAATAATTAAAAATATGAATTTGTTCGGCATGCTAAGTAATATGAAGGCAGTAATAGGATGATGAAACTACAAATCATAGTAGTAAAACATCATAATGTTCATTACAATCAATATTATTAACCTAATAAATAATAACCAACTTTTGAAAAATTTAAATGAATGAATGAATGAAATGTATCGAAAATAGTTTTTTTCCCGGTATTTTTGAGACCACAACGATTCTCGATTTCTTCCGGGACGCGGAAACGCAGCGATACTCGATGGCAGCGAGACCGAGGGTCGTATTCTAGAACTCTACTCAATGCTCAAGTCAGGATTTGAGTATGATTTAAAGCACTCGAAATCATACTCAAGTCCCTGCCATTAGGGTCGTATTTCCAGTGCTTGTGTTTCCAGTGCAATCCTGACTTGAGCATTGAGTAGAGTTCTAGAATACGACCCTAAAAGCCCTAACCTAAAGTGTCATGTGTCAATGTCTTGACGTGACTGTACAACGCACACGTTACCTTTATTTTTTACCCGCAGAACGGGACGCCTGTACTTTTATGTTGTTTTAAAAATAAAATACATGTTTATGACAGTTACCGCAATTATCAAAAATTTAAAAAATAACTAATCTTGTCTGGTTTAATGTATTATGTTTCAATTTAGCGCCATTTTGTTTTAAAATTTATGTCACGATTATTCTATTTTGTCAAAGCGGGACATTGTTAAGTATTTAAGGGACAGCGGGACACGAACCTAAAAAGCGGGACGTGTGGTCACGTTTTACAAAGCCCAATTTGGTTTTAGTCGTCAACATTACCATCAATTGAAAACTTATTGCTCTTAATCTTACGAAAGATATTAAAAAAGAGCGATGTAGGCGGTATCGCACCTTTGCTCACCCACACCTTCAACGTTTTGGCCACATCTTCACTTTTAAGCTGAACATTAATATTTATCCTTTTCTGCAACCTTGACGGATCGAAAAAATTTTCCGTCGAATTTACTATCAGATCTGTCAAAAGAGGAGGATCTGGCCCTAATAAGTTGTCGACGTATTGTTCATTGTAATTCCTGTTGGTGTAATCTATAGTGACGGTGTTGGCAGACTTAGTAACGATAGGGATGGGATTGTACTCCGGTATTTCGGCCAAATGGTTAACATTTTCGTTATTAGCGCGATCGTGGATTCGCAGTAGCGAGTGTATGTCGCGACCGAATAATTTTGCGTCTTCGTATGTTTTGAAGCCGAGTGCTGAAAAAAAATAAGATTCAAAGTTAGTAGACAATCAATAAATTAATTAAACACGCTATACTCCGTCCAACCATTTTTTTAACTTTTGACAGCTTCAAATCTAATGAATTAGTGATGTCCTAATGCGTTTCCGATTTAATTTTTTTATAATAATCGATTTTATTTATGAAGAAGTTTAAATCGTGAATGTGAGCGGTTTCGAAAAGGAAGATATTGTCTGATTGGGATCGTGATGTTGCGTTTGACAATTTGTGTACT